GTAAAGAAAGCTGTGATACCACCAGGATTTGCTCTTTCCATTCGAATAAAAAGCTCAGCAGGTAAATGAGCCATGAGTATACGTGTTGCCCAAATCCCAAATTACTAGTATTTGGGATTTGGAATTTGGAATTTCGGCAAAAAATACTAATCATAATTTGGGATTTGGGATTTGGGATTTTGGTATTTGGGATTTCGGCATTTAGATTTTGAATTTGGGTGGCAGGTATAGCCATGAGAAATCCCAAAGCATTAGCATCATTATCAGGCACACCTAATACGTATTGACGGATTCTGGCTTCGTATGTTTCTAGATTATCATCAGTCTTAAATGTTTCTTGAGATAATCTTTGAATTGCAGACTGGCGAGTACCAACTGTTCTTTGTAAATAGGTATCTCCAAGCCATACTCTGAAGCGAGCTGGGGTATCGATATTATTTCCTGCATGTTGAACTGGAACTGGTAAATACTTACTCGCTATTTTCGATTTATAGATATCTGCCTTATGTGCATCAGTAAAAGTATTGGCATTTGCATTATTGGCGTCAGCAATCATTGTATCAGTATAGCTGATAGCTGTTTCAATCCTATTACAATAATCATCTGGGAGTTCCTGCTCAATATATGATGGGATATGGGCAAGACTTGTTTGAATAGTTTGATAAATATGTTGTCTATCGGCGGCCGCTATGTTTGGATTTATAGATAAATTATTCTGAAGCGCTAAAATTTGCTGATTCAAATTATTAATTATTCGGCATCCATTTTTGGTCTTATTTTTCCACTTCTCATACCTCACTATAAGTTGATCTCACCAAAACTCAATAAGAACCTTATCATTTTGTAAATTCCTGCCATGTTCCCGACAATTTTGCAATTCTTAAGTAATATGCCGATTTCTATCTCTTTGATTCCTCCAAGCAGTCCTTGCTGTATTAAATTCCACGTTTAAGATTTGAGCCTGTCTTAAATTGCGAGCTCGCCATGCAATATGGGTTAATCCTAAGATGCGCAATTTTTGATTTAACTTGTCATGTACTAACTCACTTTCTGTAATATCTTCATGCGCACCTTCTAAAGATTGTCTCAAATGATAATTTTCTTCTCGGCATTCATCTAACCGGTCTTGGGCTTGTCCATATAATCTTGTTTTCTCATCCAT